TATATATATATATATATATATATATAATTTTCATCCTAATATTTTAAGAATTTACTTTCATCTGTTTATAAGTTTGAGCCACCACAAATAAACTTTAATTGAAGTTGTTTTTAAGGTGGGTTTCATTAATGTGCTAATAATAACATTAGGATGTTAAATGCATATTTATTAAATATAGTCATATAATTCATTAATTAATATTTATTTATGAGATATTAAATGATTATGGTTAGATTTTAAAGTTGTCTTGTCATATTTTCATGATTATATATCTTCAACTTCTGTTTAATTAATAGTAATTCATTAATTAAGATTTAATATGAGAATAAAGGATAGCCATTTTTATAAAATACTAAATACTTACTAATATAATTTATTAATTAAATATATATATATATATATATATATATAAGATAACACTGATTGAAATTATTAAATCAAATTATAATGAAATGCTATGACTCAATATAAGGAGAATCCTGCGCCATTTTATAATAAAATAGCAAGCTGGTAAGATATATAATGTCCAAAAGCGAAATCAATATGTACATAAATTTATCATCATATCATAAACAATAAAATATATTATATTTATTTCAATTCTTAACAGAGTAATTAATAATATGTGATATTTACTATAATGCCTCAACATGAATGTTATGTTTCATCAAATATGGTAATTGATGCTCCATCAACAAATTTTCATCAGCTAATACGGATCTCGAGGAGTGGATTAAATCTGGAGGTAATTTTTTAATCAGGAAACTTTTTACACTCAATTAAAAATCACTCATAACTTAGATTTTAGCAAACTTACAATCAAGCTAGTTGACTCACCGATATACACAATGACAAAAAAATGAGCTCGCACCAAGTCAAATCAAGCTTAGATTGAGTCATTAAATCATTTCTTGAAGCTTCTAGAGCAAGTTTATAAATGATTTGAAAATCTCAAAAAGATTAATTCAATGAGTTCAGTATCACTCGATTTCGACATAGCTAAGGCATCTAAATGTCCGCAGAATATTTCCCATCCTTGGGAATTCTTTGGGGCATCTGATAAAGTGCTTTGGATTTTTTCCTTATTTTTAGAGAAGTATCTGTCATACCTTATAAATATAATCCAGCCCCTTCATGAAAAGGGAGATGAAAAAGGAGTTTAACCCTTAACTGGTGGATGTCTGAAGTTTGGAGGAGCGGGAGTTGGGATTTAATGTCCTACACCAAAGGTCCAGCAAACGATACCCTCTTCTACATCTATCAACCACCGCTTGTCGATCGTCGTCGACCACTACATGTCTACTATCATCGGTTGCCCTACACTCATTATAAGGAAGCCCCGTGCGGAATAACAATGTGCATTGTGGAAACCCGGTTTATGTGTTGAGTAACGAATCACCCTACATAGCAATGCAATGACACATTACTAAGAAGATGTAACAACACACCCCAAAGACTGTGTAGCAATACACACTTATTACGATGTAATGATACCTCTTGAAGATGGTGCAACAATTTATCTTGCAATAACTGCTTACAATAATCATATTTTGGATATAATGACTCTTTTCAGACTCCAGCAGCTCTCTCCTTGCAACCCATCGCTATAACTTACTTGGTCCATGATTCATGAAACTCTCAGCTTTGACATATGTGACCTATAGATCTTATCATAACTCACAACTCCCAACCCTTGCCCCTGTAGTCTACAAACATTATCGCACTTCATGTATCTCCCAACTCCGGCCTCCGCGACCAATGAATTTTATGATAACTCATACAGCTCCCAACTCAAGCCTTTGTGGTTTATGGATGTCATCATAATGTATATAGCTCCCACATATTCATATATTTGGGTTTTCATTCAGACCCATAATTATCTCTTTCTCTCTCTAACCTTACGTTGTGGTGAAGCAAATTAAATTTATAATAAATCTAGAAGTATCATTAGAATGGCATAAGTTAAATTTAATCTAACAGTATTTCAGAAAGTCATATCACTGTTTCTAAATGATCTTTTTATACAATTATACGGAGACAGAAATTATTTGAAAATACACTTTAATATACTTATTGGCGCACATATTTACTATATATTAATAATAAATAAATAAAAATAAATAAATATTTAAATTTAACCTGTTTTTTTCGCAATTTTATAGTCCCGTCCTTCTCAACATTTAAATTATAATAATAATACTAATAATAAAATCTATAAAGTTGCGTACATGGCACTCATATTCACTTAGGTCAAAGTACATGGCACTCATATTCACTTAGGTCAAAGTTAACCTAAGTTATTTTAAAATTTTAAATTAGGTTTGGGAAAATTTGCGGTGATAGAATGATAAGTTAACATCTTAACATTTTACAAAGATCTAAAAGATAAAAGAAAAGAAGTTGGAAGAGACACCAGGATTTTTAAAGTGGAAAAACTTTAGAAGAAAAAAATCCCAAAGGCCTACCCTGATTAGAGTAATTCACTATTTGTTTGCAAGTACAATGGGGGAACATTGTCTCAGATAGAGAGAAACGAGATTACAATCATACACCAAAAATTAAATTTGTCTTTATACAACACAAAAAATATATAAGTATTAGACACAACAATCATATTGTCACTACAATGGTAGCATGCATTGATCGGCGGCAGTAGGCAGTGACGACCGGCGGCGATTTTCAGTTTCTTCAAAAAAAATTATGAAATTCTACTTATTTTCTCCTTCTCTCCCAAGTGAAGAAAGATGATCTATTCATAGCCTTTTGAAGTGGGACATTTAGGCCTTTCTGTGCAACACTTCCCTAACCATCTAATCGAACAGTCAATGTTGATCTCCTTTGATCACAATTAATTTTTTTTAAGAATTTGTGTGCACTCATGAGCTCAGAATTTAGCAATATTGGGTTTGCTGGGTTCATCTCGTCAAAATACTCGATTTGATTATATAACATGTCAAATATAAGATTCATTTGGTCATTCGATTGTTGATCAAAAACCTCCAATTCTACTTCAACAATTTGATCTAGGTTTGATTGGACCTGGATTGAATCAATTTTGCTATCATTGGGTTCATCTCATCGAGGCAGTCGGTTTGACTATAAACTTGTTGAAATCTGAGCCAATATGATTTTGAATTTGAATTTGTAACATCTTTTATAAAAAAATATATCAAGATTCGTGCTTGATAAACATATGTTGATGACACATAAAGATGTAAGTTGTTAATGAAGAAATGACCTGAACATTTTGCAATTCTAAATTTGATCATTTTGCAGCAACAAAAGCCTCAACTGCCCAAAAAGTATCATAAAACAAATCCTTAAGAGTTAGCTCCTCACCATCTTATTGTATCACATAAATTAAAGAAAGTGACAGATGATGCACCTTTTGCACCATGCAATGAACAGAGGTTAATAAAGTAACAATTTGACAACTTCCAAAAACATTCCAAATTATTCGTGGTGCCAAGAAAGCTACCAATAATCTAAATCAAAATCTTTACAACTCTTTAGAAATGAATGAAGGAAATGAATACAGAAGATTCAATGCCAAACAAACTAGCCAAAAAAAAGAAAAAAAGAAAAAAAAAAATCAGCATTTGTTCATCTAACCGCACCACCTAAACTATTCTAATCATAAATTGTAGGAGGCTGAGAAATTCCAATCAGAACTTGTTGTCTTCATGATTTCTGTACAACTGGGTTGAGCCAGAAAGAATTACAGAGCTTTCTACTTGTAAAATTGGGAATACTACCAAGCGAAAAACTATATTTATTTCATCTAATCTGAATGAAGACCATGCTGTCACTAAAAGTTGTGTTTACCATAGGAGAAGCACCAATTTCAATCAGTCCGAGTTGTATCAGATTGAGATCTTAGTCTTCCAAATATCAGATATGTTAATATAACCATGGAAGCCATCAAGAGTGTAAACTGGAAAAAAGTATATGAAACTAAATTAATAGAAATTAAGTGTCTAAAAAGTCTCTCTGAAGAGAAGAGAATATTATTCCTGAGCTGAGGGAAAGAATTCTGTATGATACCAGAAGAGGTATGGTCAAGAAGCCCCAAATAGGCCACAAACCATATGATAACCTGCAAAATAAAAGAATTCAGCATAGTTTTCAACAAAAGTTTCTTCATGCAGAAGGATATGCTGCAGAACATCAATAAGATCTTCAGAAAAATTAAACGAAGTTTCAGATTTTAACAGAGGTTGTATCTCGCGGGGGAAAAAAAGGTTGATAAAGGTTACAATGGACTCACAAACAAAATGAGACAACTCCCAGCAAAATCAGTAGTGGTGCGATGGAATGTAAGGCCTCATTTTGATCATATGATTTTATTGAAACTTTTGCCAGAATAACATTACGTATAATAAGTCCTGTATCAAGAATAATAACAAGCAGACCAAGGTGAAGAGCCTTCCTGCGAAGCAAAGAATTAAGAGTAAGAAAATATAATAAAAGAGAGAAAGAGATGCAGATATAACTAAAGTAATGAACAATATATATTGAATGTATTAAAGCATCCGTGAAATTGACTTTGTGTGGAGTAAGGAACCCTTCAATTCATATCTGAATTCAAGTTTTGCAACAAATTCTAATGTTTGCTTCACTTGCCTGCTACAGTCATCGATGCTTCGAATGGAGGATAACTACTGGCATACACTTTGGGAGAGAACGAGGATAAAGATAGAGAAATCCTGGCTGAAACTGAAAAAGTGAACAAGAAAAATCTATTTTTTTTCCTATTCTGAAATTATTTGATTTCATTTTGCTTGGGACTGTCATATAAAGATAGTCTCCCCAACTATTATAAGTTATAAATTGCTGCTCTTTCATCAGTCTACATATACAAGATTTGCTGCTTAATTTCGATTCAGTGCTTATAGAGACCGAAGTTTATAACGACTCTTTTCAATCTATTCAGACGCTTGCAATGAAATTTAAAAAAAAAAAAAAAAAAAAAAAAACTAATCACAGCAACATAACAATAAATTAAACAAACAGAGAAATTCAGAATTATCCATAATCATCAGTCTGGCAACATGGCAGCATTGGCCTCAAAGGAAACTACCATAAAGTTCCGAATTATTCAGGAGGAAATCAGAAGAAGAAAGATCCATAGAGGGCTTGCGCACCGTACCTGTTAATCCTTGAATCCGACCACAATACGCGCAGGAAATTCTGATGGCGATCGCCATAGTAGAATATGAACGCGGCAGAAACTAACCAAATGAAATTCTCCAAGACATCAACCCAACTCTGCGGCCGGCGCACCACCAGCAATGGCGAAGATGATGAAATCGTCAGCCTAGAACAAGCGTCGTCTTCAATATCATCCCCGCTCGATGCATAACCCTGATTGCATCTCTGCCGCAAACTGCCCACCGGGGTCCCCCCTGACATTGGTGCAACTCTCTAGAGAAACAAAACCCGAATACCAAACCTTGCAACCTCCAAATCCAAAGTTTTCCTTTACAGACCCCTCAAACGAAAAAAAAAAACAAAAGACGAACCTTTGAGATTGCTAGACATCAAAGAAATGAAGACCCAAGCCGGCAAAAGAAATAAAATCTGATTAGGACGAGACTTCCGACAAGGATCATGTCATAAAAGGACTCGTGGATTGTAGGAGGAAGGCCAATTAACGCCAGAGACTAAGGATCAAATGAGGACAACTAACCCTCCTCGGAACGTCCGGATGAGGACGAATCGGCTTCTAGGGTTTAAATAGCAATATGGTATGGGAAAGGTAGCATAATAATAATAATGATCAAAAGTCGGGGCCTTTATCAAACAAACTGGTTCCTTTTGCAGATGGGACTTTCCCAATGGCCTCGGAGAACGAAGATAGCGGGTGGTGGCGGCGGAATTAACGTGTGAAACCGGTGCTGATAACTAACCGGTGAAACCGGTGCTGATGGCAGCATTGGTGGGACAGGTTTAACATTTTAGCCCGGCCCGTTTAAAGTTTGAGTTGCTAAACCGTTTAAAGTTTGAGTTGCTAAACTTAAATTTATGTTAAATTGAATTAATTCACTAAATTTGTTGTTCTGTGCAACAGAGATGAATTTAGGAGTGACGTTGTAATAAATTTTTAAATTCATGCATCTCACAATTTACGTCGAATTAATAAGAAAAAAAATTGATAATTTTTTTTTTAATGTTCAATTGGATTTATGTTGAACTTATAGCTAAAACTTATTGAAATAATGCTACCAAACACCGCCTTAATGATTTGGGAGAAAATAGAGTTCGTACATCAGGACAACTACGATCATCTGGTAATGGGAAATGTGCAGTGATAGGGTTGGATCATCACCGTTGTTCGGATATGTGATTCATGGTACGAAATATCTTTTTGTGGGGTGGAGCAAATCATCTAAAAGATTAGTTCACAATTATTAAAGAAAAAAAAAAAAAATTGGCCTCTCTGAAGGGGCAGACGGCTGAGTAAACGTCTAGGAGATAATGGCATATCTTATACTCAACATGGACATATTAGTCTTGGACTTCTAACATAGCTTTCACATCCATATCCCCATCATCACAAGTTATTATGACTTGCATTCCCATCTTTATTTTACTCAATAATTATTCTATTAAATTTATTTATTATAATTTTCCATCTATTAATTTTATGATTTATAGATAATTATTTAAACTTCAAGAATTATTTAATTAATTTAATGGCAATTTACTTTTGAGTTATTATGATATTTGAACTTGCATCGCTTTGATTATGTTTTCAACAAATTATTATTATTATTATGCGAGCGCGTTGTGACAAATGTGTCACTCTCAGCAGTATTCAACGGAGAGGTTTGAGGATGCCATTTGCCATGTTATACGCAACCTACTAATGGTACGAATCATATCACACATTTGTTGGACTTGCACGTGTCAATCATTAAGATTGGCTTACCTTTTCCCGGTTATTAATTATTGAAGAGGATTAAGCTTCTTTTTTTTTTCCCCCCTAAAGTCCAGCCACATTTATGGAATCTAACCAAACAAAAAAATTACACAAGTTCTGCGATTTTATGAAATTTTAATTTTAAGATCTAAATTTTATTCAGCTTAAATCTGAATTTCATAAATCTAGCCAAACAATAAATTTAATAGATTATGATTTATGAATTTACTAAATCCTATCAATGCTAAATCCTTTTTACAAGCCAAACAAGTAAATTTTGATATATGAATCAATCGAAGACCTGTCAGATGATCGGGTGGCCCTTAACGATCCAATGGATCCCGAGCCTTATTATATAAAAATAACATTGTGAAATACTAAAAAAAACCCCTGAAAGTTTAACAATCAGCTAGTTGTTATGTATTTTTATAATATTATGACCTAAACATATAAATAGGAGTTCATATTTATGAATAAAAGATACCCTTTTGCTTCTCTCTCTCTCCCTCTCTCTTAATTACCTCACAATAGAAGTTACATTCCTTGGCCGTGTTTCCCGAACAATCTCAAATTCAACAAAAATTATTCGGCAACATATTCACATACCCTACATATTTAATTTTTTATTTTCACTTATGCTTTGAATCTCTCTTATTTTTTAAAAGAAAACTTTATGCATTGATTAATAATAATGATATGTGACATTTACATTCCCCTTATGGCAATCCTATCAAGAGGTTATAGACAACAAATAAACATAAAAATACATATAATAATAAACATTATTCTTCAAAAAAAAAATAAATAAATAAAAACTAAATGTTGAATCATTTTAGGACATGGTAACTTGTAAGTTCAAACAAAACGGGAGTATCTTGTGAGATGAGATGATGTGAAAAGAAATAGATAGAACTCAAGCTCATGTACTCTTTTCTTAAAGGAGTAAAAATCATCATAAGAATTTAGAAATACAAAAATATCAATAACAAAACATAAACTTCCATGCAGTAAAAGCCCACATACCAATCTCCCAATAATCTCATTTCATATCATACAATCTTAATGCAAAGCATAATAACAAATAATCTGGGACTATGTTTCACAAGCTGGAAGCAGAACTGAATTGATCTCCAGGAAGAGATTCAGCGTGAGCCCACGATGATATCAGATGGTGAGCAATGGCGAATGGTCCTGGAATGAACATGGGAGAATGTTTCTCACTCTCTACTTTGAAGTCTGAAGCTAAACTCTGGCCTTGATCAACTCCTTTACAAATCTGGTTCACCTTCATGGCCGCCGTTCTCTGAGCTTTCCCGTAATCCGTGACCGTCAATGCCCTCTTCACACCTTCCTTGCTGTGCCATTGAGCATCTGCAAATAAACCGACGATGTTGAGTGAGGACACAAACTCGCTTTTGTTTTTGTTTTGATAATCATTTTTGCATTAAATTAGTTTTGTTAAAGTTCTAAATATCAAAGCTTTTAGGTAGAAGATCAGAGTATGATGAATAGGAACAAGAAATAAGAGGTAATGCTTTACATTCAAATGAAATGACTATCAAGATTTTAAAAAGTGATAGGAGAGTGTCTGTCAATAATTTCTTTAATAAAATTTTAACAATTAAATGGCATGATAAAAGCCTCGAACCCGGAACACCAGGGAACTTGCCAATCAAAGTGCCAACGAGTTCACACAAAAGAAATTTGATAAGAGAAGCAGAATTTTGATACTAGTGTGGAAGAACAAATTTTGGTGCTCACAAAGGAATCAAATTAAGAGTAAAATAAGTTAAACTTAAGGCCATAAATTTTGAAGGTATTGAAGGGCAAATTTGTGTTAAATAGTGTTTTCAGGTTGAAAGATACATACAATAAACCAATGTAAGCATGCTACAATTAGATTTTGAGGGACCAGTGACATTATTATAAGTTTAGATCAAAGATAAATATCAACTCTGTACCAATTTTCTATAGGTCTTATAATAGATATAAAAAATGAGGCACACAAGTATCATAACTAATTATAATTTTGATAGGTGAGATGTCCTTTGTGTAGAAGCGTATATTACTGCAGTAGTGAGAAAACCATTCCTTACATTAGTGGAATAGAGAAGAAGCCAAAGGCTAAATATGAATTATTGTATATATTGTTACAGACGTTATGACAGGAATATATAGACTCTATCGATGGTTATGGAGGGAATGAAGTGGTCCCTAAGAAACAAAGGAATACCTGAATAGTTTCCTAAGGAGAAGAGAGGAGCTGCATAATACCTTGAGCCAGATATCATATATTCTTCATTAGAATTAAAGGTTACACCTTATGCCACTATATATACCAAGCAGGATAAATTTCTAGAGATTAGTCTACGCATAATGGAATTGGTACAATATGGGCCTATAACCCTTGGGGGCCACACAAGTGTAATAATTCCTTAAATTAGTGGTGTAGTGCTGCTAATACTCCCTGCAAGCTGATGGTTCTAGTTAGAACTGTTTAGCTTGGTTTGAAGTTCAAGAAATTTGTGCTTTGGAAGAGCTTTTATAAGAATGTCAGCATGTTCATCTTGAGTTTGAATGTACTCAATTTGCACTTATTTGGAGCTAATGTGGTCACGTATGTATTGATGATCGATCTCTATGTGTCTCGTCCTTGTATGGAAATAGGATTGTTGGCTATTGAGATGGCCGATATGGAGAGGTCGGATGCTGGAGTTGGATGCTAAATTGCGGAAGGAGACGGCATAGTGATATGATATCTGTAGTAGTTGTAGCAAATGCCTTGTACTCAACTTCGGTCAACGATCTTGCCACTGTGGATTGTTCCTTCACAGTCCAAGCAACTAGTGTCTCCAAGAAAAGAGCACACCCCAGTGGTTGATTTCCTATCAAGTTGATCCACAACCCAATCCGCATCGGCATAGGAGCGAAGAGCAAGATCCCCTGGGCTCAATTTCATGCCATAATGACTTGTGTCTTTCAGATATCGAAGTAGATAGGTTAGGAGTTTGTAGCGGGTTATGATTGGAGAGTGCATATGTTGGCATAAGAGGTTTATGCCATAGGCTATGTCGAGCCAGGTGACGGTGAGGTATTGAAGGGACCTGATCAATTGACAATAAAATGTAGGGTTGTGGAAAGGCGTGCTATCTATGGAGGAGGTCGATTGGCGTAATGGGTTCGGGGTGTTGAGAGGTGTGCACTCTTGCATGCTTGCGGTCTGAAGAAGTTGGAGAACATACCTTTCCTGGTTGAGGTGATAGAAGGCAACATATTTTTGAACTTGAATGCCGTATCGGTCCAAATTGTTTCATTTGGAATGTGTTTGCCGGGCAATTGTCTTAGAATTGTTGTCGATAATTAGAATATCGTCAACGTAGACAAGCGCAAATATTTGCATGTTGTTTTGATGATATATGAGAAGGGATGGATCCGCTTTGCTGAAATGAAAACTATTAGCTAAGAAAAAACAATAAAAGGTGATAAACTACTATCCTGGGGCCTGTTTAAGTCCATACATGGATTTCTTGAGTAAGCATACATAATTTGGTAATTACAGATCTTGAAACGCCGATGATTGTTTCATGTACACGTTTTCATTTAAATTGCCATGAAGGAACGCATTGGAGATGTCAAGTTGTAATATGTTCCAGCCATGAGAAAGAGCCAATGTAATGAGAATGTGAATAGTGAAGAGTTGGGCAACCAGGCTAAATGCTTCATTAAAGTTAAAGCCAAACTCTTGTTTGTGTCATAGAGCAACAAGACGTGCCTTGTAAATTGTGTTGTCACCACTTGAGTTTATTTTAGTGATATATGTCCACCGTGAGCCAAGAATGGATTGATTTTCTGGGAGCGGAACGAAGGTCCATGTCCCTTGTCTCAAAAGAGCTGTGAACTCTTGGGTCATAGCTTTCCTTCAATGTGGTACTTTAGAAACTTAGGTAAAGCGGGTGGGGTCAGGTGGATGCTGAGTTTGGTGCACTAGATTGAGTTTTTGAATGGGTTTGAGGTGACCTGTTTTAAATCTAGTGGTCATAGGATGTAGTGGTGGAGAAACATTTGTGGTCTGTGGTAGGGAGGAGTAATTAGGAGGAGTTGTTGTTGCTTCGGTTGGTATGGGAGGGATTGTTGTGGGACAAATTGAAGGGGAAGGAGATGAGAGAGTTGATGAATAATGCTTAGATGAGGTGGCCATTAAAGAAGTTGTTGGGAATGTGGGATGGATTAGGTGGCTGATTTGTATGTGGAGGAGTAGAGTGTTGACTAAGGGTCCGTTTGGAGCAGCTTATAGGTGCGAGCGGCGTTTTCCAAACGATGCCGTACCGTCTAGTTCGCGCATTTCGTCAGCTTATCTGAAACTGCGTTTGAGTTTTTACACTAAACGCGGGTCGACCCCTGCGGCCGGCCCGCGGACCGCGTTTTAGGATAAGTGGCTTATTCTGAAACGCACAAACTGCCCCAAACAGACCCTAAATGAGAAGTGTTTCATCAATGACCATGTCCTGAGATAATGATTTGTTTGGTGTTAGGATTGTAACATTTGTAGCCCTTATGTTGGAGAAAGTAACCAAGAAATATGCATTGAACTAATCTTAGTTCAAGTTTGTGTCGAGTTTGAAGTTTGCGCCATGGATAACATGCACACCCAAAAACTCAGAGATGGTATAAATTGGTGGAGAATTGTGAAGATGTTCATAAGGGGAGATGTAGTGAGTAGTTCTAGTGAGCATTTGATTGATAAAATGGATCGCAATAAGAAGTGCGTCAGTCCAAAATTGATATGGTGTATGTGCTTGATGAAGGAGATCACGAGTAGTCTCTATAAAGTGTCAGTTTTTTTTTTCCACCACTCCATATTGTCTAGGCGTATATGGACATGAGTATTGGTGGGGAAGTCCATTTTGAGTAAGAAATTGATAAGGTTGTGATTAGTATACTCTCCACTACCATAGAGTGAAGAATGTTTATGTTCATATTAAACTGATTTTGTAGTAAACAGATGAAATTTTGGGCGATTTGTGTTGTTTGAGATTTTCAATGCACGGGAAACACCCAACAAAAACAAGAAAAATCATCAACAAAAGTAATGTAATATATATAGTCATGACAAGAGGAAATAGGAGAGGGACTTCACACATCACTATTAATGAGTTCTAGTAATTTTGCAATTTTATCTTATACATGATACAAATGACTGTTTGCCTTTTATTAAGTTGGTCAATACTAAAAAAACTTGGAGCTGTGAGTAAATGTAATAGTTGGCAGTTGGAGATGGCGGAGATAATGTCAAGATGAGGATAGCCTAAACTCTGATGCCATAGCTCAGAGTAGTGTGCTTTGGAGATGGATGTAGTAAATGTTTATGGCAGATTTGTGGATGAAGGAATAGTGGAGTCCATTAGAGTTGAATCCCCAGAGAAGTAGCTTGTGGGTTTGCGGATCAGAAATGGAAAACCTGGAGGAGTTAAATGAAATAATGATATCGTTATCTTGAGTGAGCTTGTGAATCGATAGTAAGTCATGCGAGAGTAATGATGTGTGATGTATTTGAGATAGTTTCAGCTTACGACTAGAAGTAGGAAGAATTCCATCACTCTTGTGTTGAATCGGAATGGCTTGGCCATTGCCAACAACGACTTGCTCAGTACAAGAATATGAATATTTATTTGTAGTTGATTGATACCAAAAGTGAAGTGTGCGGTTAAACCAATTCCAAGACCCATTCCTAAGAGGTGGTCGTCAATCCTTACGGAGGAGCGATGGGGGTGTAGTCAATGTTGGTTCGTTGCCAACAAGTTGATGCGGAGTGCCCCAATTTTTTGCAATTTTGACAAATGACGAGTGGTCGAGTTGACTACTGACATCCCTTGGATCCATTTGCATAGATTCTTCGGCCTTTTCCCTTTGTGTGAATAGGAGCTATCCCACGAGAGGCTTGAAGAGCCATTTGGGAATTGATTGAGGTGAGATTCTTACTTGTTTATAAACTTTCTCGCTGCATAGTAAGAAGTAAAGATCTTCAAGGGATATGGGTTGAAGCATTGTTCTAATAGTTTTGAAAGTATTATAGGTTGGGAGTAAGCCACTCAAATAGAATGATATCTTTTTGATCTATTGTTGATAGAGTCGCTTGTATTTGATCCACCAACTTTTTATTGCCTGGAAGTACTGTTGCATTGAGTCGTCCTTCATAGAGATATGTAGTTCATGCTTCAACTGAATTATCTGAGAACTATTTCTGGGTTGTAAGTGGCGCTCGATAGTTCTCCAGATTTCTGAGGTAGATTTCAGATGTAAGGAAGGAGGGAGTACCGTGGGAGATATAATCGAGCAGAGGGATGCTGTCAAGTTCTAATCAATAAGATTAT